ATATATGTATGTGTTTCAAGTGCGTTACCATTTTCACAATATATATCTCATACTTTATAGATAATAATAATGATAATAATAATAATAATAATAATTAAAAAAAAAATGTTATTCGATATCGCGTATCAGTGGTATCATAATGTATAGTAAGCCAACGATGCATTATGCATACGTTAACGAAATAATTAACAAAGCGACCGCGTCCAATGAAATTTTCGTACATCAACCCATACGCGAAATGTTCGTCCATTTGATTTTCAAAAGTGAGAAAGATAGACAGAGAGAGAGAGAGAGAGAGAGAGACACACAGAGGGAGTGGGGGTTGGAAAGGATGGGAGGGAGGAGGGAATATTGATATGATTCGATTTTCTAGTGAAATATAACACGCTGTATGTATATACATTCTGTATTCTGAATTTTTGATCGTTAATGGATGGTACGGATATGTGGAATAATGTTAAAAATTTGAAAAAATCAACATTGCTTTTAGGTTGAATAGGACATAAAACAATTGTCGTACAATATTTTATAAGATTTAACACAAAAATGTAAAAAAAAAGTAAATTTTTCTATGGGAAGGAAGAGTACTGGCAGGGGTAATAGGTTTTATAATAATAGGATTTATAATAATAGGATTTATATAGATATAAATAATAAAAATTAAGGATGCATTATTATTAGGATTTATTAATATTAAAATTTATATAATTAGGATTTATATATATATATATATATATTTTCTTTTTATTTTTTTATATCATATAAAATTATATATATATATAATTAGGAATTATATTATAGGAATTATATATAATATATTATTAATATATATAAAATAGAATTTATATATATATATATAATATAGATAATAAAAATAATATTTGATCAATTAGTAATTTCATTGTCATCTCATTGAATTTTCATTCCTACGTTTATTATAATATTTATAACAACAACAACAACAACAACAAATATAAATAATATAAATAATATTTTATCAATTGGTAGATATAATTGTCATCTCATTAAATTTCCATTCCTACATTTATAATAATAATAATAATAAATATGCAAAATTAAAACACACTAGAGAGATGATGAAAAGTTTGAAATATTTCGGTAAATTAGGTTTTTCCCTCTTTGAATCAAAATTAAACCTATAAGAGGGAGTAATGTACCCGTAGGAAGGGGTGTAAGTTGAACAGACCTCTGCAAAGCTTGTTACCCTGTGATACGAGCGCGCTTTCCGTCGTCGTTCTAGCCAATCAAATTGACTGAAATGAGTGGAAGCAAGACTCCTCAACAATTCTGGGGAATCCCGCGGGAAAGTTAGACCAAGTGAAAACCCAAATATATATATATATATATACGAGAACTAATACTAGTATTAGTAGTATACGTAGTAGTATTATGTTGAAACCACCTACGCTAAAATGATAAGGGATGAAACAAACACACCCTTTAACCTTCTGACATCCTGTTACGAGAGTCCCTGATTTTCGGGCAAATCGCTACTTTTTCTATCGAATGGCCCGCCAACACCCCTGGCTAGAGATTGGCTCACCTGAACAGGTAAGCGAGTAATCTCAACTGTAATCTACCTTTAAAGGACATTCTTAGATGTTTTTTTTCTTTTGTAATAATAATAGGGAGTAAAGTGAATAGACAGTATGGAACAGGATTGAAGTCCTGGATAGGATGTTGCCAACTCCTACGTTGTTATAGGGGGTGGAAGAGGGGATTAGGGGAAGGGAGAGAACCACCAGGATGGGGTTAATCTTGAATAGGATGAGAAAGGTGGGTATATAATTGGTTGGTGACTGGATCAGTGATGTTCAACCCATTTCGATGTTTCCGTCGAATTAAATCAATAATGGAATTGGTTTATACCCTTGAGTTATAGCTATAACTATAGTTATAATTAGAAATAGTCTTATATAACCATTAGTTTAAGATTGACTTGATTATTAACAGAGATTAAATGGTTTAATATTGATTGTCTTTAGATTGGGATATTTAAGAGGTGTATGTATCACATATTGAAATAACAATTTCACTTTTTAATTGGATTGTATCAATCCAATTGTTTTATTCTTTTTTATTTTTATTTGTATTTTTTTTTTTTTTTTTTTTTCATAGTCTCTTAAGATTCTCTTCATTCGAAATATTTGTTGATTCTTTTCGTTTAACTTTGAATATTTATTTCGTAATTTTGTTTGTTTGTTTCTTTTTCTGATCAATGTTATTGTATTTGATATTGTAGGATCTAACGTGTGATGTTTCTCATCGACGGTTTGCATCTGTCTTGTCAATGAACAGGATGTTATAAGTTGAGGAAAGTAAAATTGGTTGTAGGAGCCCAATCGGTATCAGGAAACTCTTGGAAAACTCATCGATGAAAGCACGCGTGCGCTTTTGATGAAAATTGGAACATATGGATAAATGTTATATTGAAATCTTTTACAATAGGTGATAAAAGGGTTAGATTACTTTCTTTTATTATATATGTATATGTATATGAAAATATATTTTTTTATGATAGGATATTGTTAATATTAATTAATATCTGAAAATTTATTCAGTTGCTTTGTTTAATTGAAAGAGGAAGAATAGAATCATTTGGAGGATTAAAAACACAAACTTGTTTTTTAGCTATGATTTATTTTATATTAAAATTATTTATATTATTTATATATATATAATAAATTTGTAGAATTTTGTAACTTAACTTTAATCTACTATATAGTATAATAATTGGTATATATTAAATATATATATATATATATATTTATATTAAATATTTAATTATATATAACTCTCTCTCTCTCTCTCTCTCTTATTACATATATATATATATATA